GTGTGTGTGTGTGTGTGTGTGTGTGTGTGTGTGTGTGTGTGTGTGTGTGTGTGTGTGTGTTACACAGGACATGCATGTGCAAACATGAGGGGAACAGAAGCACAGCGGTGGTTTCATGTTCCAGACTGCCAGGCTCTGGATCAGAAGTCCGGTCTGTCGTTCTAATCAGAGCCAGGTGAAGCAGAGAGAAGTTGAGGCGAATATATATATATAAAAAAAGAGGCTGAATGAAATCATATTCAAACACAAAGGTCCTTTTCACTTTCCTAATGCAGACACTTTTCCAATTTTCTAACTGTTTTGTTGCTTCTTATTTCCTTCCTGTGGAAACGATTGATGGATCTTTATGTGGTACACATCCACAAATTCAGCACTGAACAAAAAACTCTATATCTGTTAACTATCATTAAATACAGTTTTTAAGTTAGTTTTTTTTCTATATTTGAATAAAATGTGTTGGTTAGTCTGTCAGCCTGTAGTTTTAGTTTTTTACACTGCACTAAATCATCAAATCAGGATGAAAACTTGCAAAAACACACAAAAAAATAGTCCCAAAACTAAATAAAGACATAACATAACATCACCCATCTGCTTTCACGCCAGTTTTAGACTCGGATTATGTTGAAAAATAATGAAGTTACAGGCATTCTGGTCAAATCATGAAAGTCTTGTGAATTATTGTGAAATGTCAGGTTTAAAGTGTTGTCAACGATTCTTAGCTGCTACCTGCTCACATTTTACCTCAATATATGTAAAACTGATTGTTACGGCTTATATTAGTTAGCGGTGGTGGCTAACCTAAATTCGATTGGCTCCAAAAGTTAATCAATTATATGTAATCAGATATTTTGCTAACAGGGTGGATTGTAACACCTAATGCTAAAGTTTTAGGCAAAAATCTTGCACAGTGTGTAGCATTTGGAAAATGTGCTGCAAATGACTTTCAGCTACTACCACATCAAATTTGAGCACAATTTCTGTTAAAATGACCTCATTGCAGCCATTTTTTTCTTTTGTTTTTTTAGGATCAGTTGGCTGTGACAAATCTCTTGAATTGGTTTGACTCCAAAGGTTAATTAGCTGTAGACGCACACCTAATTGTTACTTTCTGCAGGTTCATTCATGGAGAGGTTGATAAGATGTTTCAGTAAAACGAACAAACATGGGGGGAAATCATCTTTGCATATTTTGGCAGCAGGTGATGAATTATTTAATGGTGGAAAATTAATTACAAAATGAAAAACGACAGATGCATCACAATTCTTGATTTAATGTGTACTAAGCTTTAAGCTTTCATTTTCTTCAGAAACATGGTTTTGTGTATGCTACGGAGCCCGAGAGGGGACAAGGGTATTTTTTTTCTTTTGCGTTCCCTTCAAATACCTTTGCGTTACCTCGCAATATTGTTTTGCTTTCCCACGCAAAAGATTGTTTTGTATATGAACTGAATTAAATCACACTTTTATTTTGAAATATCCGGTTACCAAAATAGGATGTGTCACCACAAGTTCATGAAATTGACAGTGATGTTGCGTGGCTGCACTGTGTTAAAATATCAGCATATAATATGTTTCCATGCGTGGCTCTGTGATATATTCATTCTGAAGCTGAATTAAAGCAGTAGGCTAACTCGCTAATGGTGAACATGTGAGTTTGCTAATAAACCGGCAGGCACAACATTGATAAACGACTTTTGCGAGGGAACGCAAAAGGTATTGCGAGGTAACGCAATACTTTTGCGTGGGAATGCAAAAAGAAAAAAATCTCCCGTGTCCCCTCGCGGGCTCCGTAGTACACTGTAAAAACTTTGAGAAAAGCTATTTTATTTTATAATAAACAAACTGCACTAAACTTCTACAGGATTCTGATGCATCAGAACTAAACTTCACAACTGATTTTTACTTGTTTGAATCCATGCTTTTGGAGAAAAACCCACTTGTGCAGAATGGGATTGTATGCTCTGCAAAGCATCTTGTCTTATATTTTAGATTTTAATGGCAAACGTGGAAAAGCATGTGGATATCTGAAATCTTACTGCTGCAGGAGGTGGAAAAAAACTGGAATCTTTGACTAAAGAAAAACAGATCTGCAGAGGAAAGAGCTGGACATCAGACACACATGACCAAAGATGGAAAAGAAAAGAATCTGCACCTGCCCTCGGTAAATTTACAAAAATCACAAGATTTTAAAAAAACATGTGTGTGTGTGTGTGTGTGTTCACACTCACTGTCACGGATGTTGTCAAAAGTCCACTGGTCGTTCTTGAAGAAGGGGTGACGTTTGATCTCATCCACTCCGGTGCGGCCCAGACGAACCTTCCTGCGCACAGAGGAGGCAAACACACTGAGAGTGGAGTCGCCTCGGCGTGAACACAAAACACCCTCCTCCTCCTCCTCCACGCACCATCACAAACATGTCATCACAAACACACAAGTGGAATAACTGCTCTGCACTGACCACAGTGACCAGCGTGGAGAGCTGCTGCTGCAGAGAACCTCCTCTACTTAGTCAGAAAGCAAAAAAAATAAAAATAAATCAGCAACACTGACTGAGAGTCTGCGCCTTGTTGCCCCCTTTTCTCCCCCCGTCTACCCCTGGGCACGAGGCTGGAGAGGGGTGTGGCAGTTTTGGGCTTGCCACGTGTGGGACATTCCAAATACAGCCAGAACGACGAGAGGGGTTCAGTGGGGAGGATAAAAAAGAACATATCAGTCTGAAAACTGCATCTCAGTGTCCAAACACTTTAAAAAAAAGTTAAAGGAGCGAGATAGCTCTGCTGAGAAAAAAAACAAGATGGGGAAAAAAAAAAAAGAAGGAATACCGCAAAAATTCCAAATGAGGTGGCGGTTGTGCTTAAAGGATAGACAGTGAAATGTGAAGACAATGACAGAGCATGTGGGTTTAAAATGAATGCAGTCATGGTGTGTGTGTGAGTGTGTGTGTCTGCTGCACACACACGGCGGACTCTGAGGTGAATGTAGAGGGAGAAGGTAAATAAACAGAGAGGGGAACAAATGAAAGGCTCCTCTGTAGCGAAGCAGAAAGGGTCTGTGTGTTGGAGCCTTCTTAGGGGCGGGGCCACTTATGTAAACAGGAAGTGGTCTCTTCCACTGGAAATGGTCAGAAATCAGGACCTTACCCACCCAATTCATCCAAACTCTACCTTTAAAACTGATGTTGCAACAAAAATTAGGATGATGTTGTTTTTTGATCATATAAAGTGAAAAAATAAATTTAGCAGAAATTCTGTGAAACTAATAAAAGGTAAATAAAGCATTAAAGTATATTAAATCAAACTACTTCAATTTTTCGCCAGCATAAACCAATGAAAAAGAGAAAACTCAAACAATCACAAGGAAATTTAGATACTTCCCATCGAAAGGCTCCAGCTGAGCAGCATGTTTGAACAGCAAACCTCCCTCCTCTGAAACTTCACTAACTTGTGCGCCACTCTGCGGCACACACAACTTTTCTATTTTTGACTTGGTTGGTGGTAGAAATTTCCAGAAAGAACCAATAAAATAAAAAGCCACAGGCAGGTTGTCAAAATGGAAATATCCTGCGAGACGGATTTTGACATCTTCTTGTAGAAAACATTACAGAGCTGGTTTATTTGTGCTTCAGTGAATAAAAATCGAATTTGTAGCTACAAATGGAATGCTCTATGTTTTGATATGTCACTCAAATTATAGACTATTCCTGGATGTGGTGAATATATTGATGTGATAAGGCTTTTGTTTTGGCTAGGCAGCCTGAAATGATGAAACAATTGAATTTTGATTAAAAAAATTTAAAGAAAAAAGAAAAACTTGATTCATATTTGTAAATTTCCTTGTACAAACCTGTCAGTGAGAAAAGCACAGATGAGATTCTTGGCATCTGAAGACATCTCCACATCATCTGGAAAGCTGAGGGAGTTCTGGTGGTTCATGATCTTCCCATAAGTCCCGATGAGAGACTCGGCATAAAAAGGAGTTTCACCTACGAGAGAAGTGGGAGGTTAATACTTAAAATGATTTTAAAAAGATTCATACACCTCGAACATTTTTAAAGTTTGTTGCGTAAAGCCACAAACTTTAAAGTATTTTCCTAGGATTTTGAGAACGATCATTGTAGCTCTATTTATTCTAATACCACAACGTAAACTCACTGCAACCAAGAGCCTTCCCAAGTCACCTTATAATGTAACAGAATGAACTTGTGTGCAGGTTAATGTCAGTATAAATACAGCCTCAGAGGCTGACATTGGTGATCAAAAAGACTCATGAGACATAGACAAAGTTGTTGTGAAGTTTAAAGCAGTTAGATTATAAAACAACACTTATATGGAGGACCGTAACTGACATAATTAGGAAAAAAAACCCACAGAAATATAGAAATCGCCCTAAACTAACTAACTAACTTGAAAATTTAAAGCAGAACAAGCATGCACAGTAGATCTGCACATGGATCCTGCTGCTTCCTGTCTGTTGACCAATAGAAGAGGAGCTGACCAAAGAAGCTCCGCCCACCTTATTTATATAATGAGGCAGAAATGCATAAGATAAAGTAAATAAAGGAGACAGAAATGTAAACACAACAAATGGAAATAAAGACTTGTGAGAAAAAATTATAAAAATAATTCAATGTAATTATTTAAGAGACACTAATGCATTTACAAGCATAACTATCACTCATCTAATACATCGTTTCATCAGTTAAAATTATTAAAATTTTATAAGTTGGTTGATTATAACATTCTGCAGGTTATGTATAAAGCTTATAAAAATGTGTTGCCTTCAAACATCCAATCTAATTTTGTTAAAAGGGAAAGCTGCTATAATTTGAAGGGACTATAAATGTTGGTTAAACCAAAAATAAGAACAAATTTGAAGGAGAGATGCACTTCAGTAAAAGGTATAAGACTATGGAATAATCTGGAAAATGATTATAAAATGATGGGATCAATTAATTTCTTCAAAAAAATTATCTAAGTAAAATTGTTAAAGAAATATGAAATTGTTTCATTTGTATTTGTATGAGTTACTGTTTAGGAG